CAGAGTGCTCTGCAGTGTCACAGTCCCTCCCCTCCCAGGACTTCCAACCTCCAAGGACCATCATATCAGACACACACAAGAGGATAAATGCTCCTGATTTTAGCCTTATTTTCAGAGGCAGGGCTAGGGTGGCATGGTCGTGTTTGTGATGTGGGACTATTTCACCTGGTGTCCCCCCCAGCAGGGACCTAGCCTGCCACCAGCCCCACCACTGCCCACCTCACTGTGCTGCTGGGACTCCAGAACCAGCTGCAGCCCCAATGCACCTTCAGCCACTCGTCACTGTCTGCATTATTGGCATGCAGGAGGCAACTGCTAATTTAATATCCATTTGGGGCATCATTTAACCGTTCCCTTTAAATTATCTCAAGAGCTGTTTCCCTATATATGCTGAAGCCAGTCATGGTTGACTTTCATGCAGGAGCCCAGGGAAGAGCCACCCAGTTAAGAGCTTCTGCAGGTGACCAAAGGGAGGTTGTTGGGAAGAAGGAGAAATCAAATAAAGCATGTTCTGCAACGTCTTCTTATATATCCTATATCCTTATATCACCTCTAAGGGTAGAGAAGTCCCCTGGTGAGGGAAGTCCCTAGATTCTTGCCTCGAAATCTACAGCACCCCAAGCTCCTGCAGCTTTGCCCCTATTTCGTGTGTTACTCTGCTGGCATCTCAGTTTAGGCAGGCAAAACCGACTGCTTTTGGAGATGGCACTGGCATTTCCACTCTGGATCTCAACCTTAAGGACCACATCAAGCTGGCTAGTTTGATATCTACAGCCAGACAGAAAATAAGAAAAAATAATCCCCCAGCCTAGAAGAAGCCTTGTAGATACCAGACCCCAGCTGGGGCAGGGGCTGTGTGGTCCAAGGCACCAGATGCCAACAGCTGCCCTGCTGCCATGCAGCAACATTTCCTCCTGCAAGGGCACTGCTGATTTCAAAGGAATCTGGGTCAGGTAAGGATTTATCATGATGTCTTTCTGGACAAATAGCTGCTGCTGTGGTTCACATTTGGGTTTGCTCTGCGAGGCACAGACTAGCATGCATCTCACAGGCACTTATATGGAAAGCATACTTATAATGCATGTGCCTCCCTTCAGGTGATATTTGTCACATTCCTACTATGGAAATGTTTTTACCTCCTGACAATACCCTTTAGATAGTGCCTATGGAGGTGGATGACTCAAGCTTGACATGATGATTTCCATCCACCATTTTTTATTAAAAATACTCCTAGCAGTTCATAACGTGAAGACAGAAGCTGGTTTTAAAAGGGGTGTGGAAACCACGTCGGACGCACAAACTGCCCTGTAATTTTAGGTCCAACAACAACCACCAGAAAAATCTATATGTAAAATATTTCCTCCCAAGCTTAATTTATAATCTCATGCCTAAAAATCACCAAACATATGGCAATAACATCCACCCGAGCCCCCACTGTAATTCACAGTCCCTAAGAGACGGGTTATGGATGGCCTGCCACTTCCAACTCAGTCATTTGCTTGATGTTATGAAGTTAAGCATGGCCTAATATAGCTTTCTGCAAGTTAATTCCCTTTGTGATGGTGACAGCTCCTAAAAACCCTCACGCTACTACTGAACTGCAAATAGCAAACCCCACTGCTAGGAATAGACAAGCCATCAGCAGAGTGACCTGCTATCTCTCCAGCCCCTTTCCTTGCTGCCAGCATAGTATTTAAAGCAGGATGGGAAAAAAACAAACACAAATCCAGAGTGGAGTTCAAGTCGACAGATGGTTGATGCAAGTGGGAAAAGTTTTCACAGGAGGAAAATAACGGGTTGGAGAAGAGGCAGAGCAGCACCCTGAGCACGCTGCTCCGAACAGCACGTGTTCATCTGAAAACCTGGACTCCTTCCCTCTTTCTGCTGCTTGAAATCAGAAGTGTTTTTCATTTCCTGATCTCCACATTCTCCTCCTTCCAGCACCCGCTGGCTGCTCGCTCAGATACTCATTGTCACACGCAGGGGCAGGA